AAAGAGTTAATACGGTGTCATTCGTTCAGCACAGTCTGGATCTCGCACCCCTGCCGTGATCTTTATCTGCAAGGCCGTTTGCCCTCTTCAGACCTTCGAAACGGCTTGCGAAGGAAGTTTGGAAGGCAAATTGTCACTGTTCCGTTTGCAAAGATGAAATCCGCGTCAACGTTTCTCGGTGCCCTTCTCTCTAACTGTAAATGCCTAGGATGTGCAGTGTGACGGGCTCCACTTGTTCTAAGGAGTTACGTGCAAGAGAGTAGGTGACCCTGATGCGCGCGGCGCGTTTCACGCAGACTCCTTTCTCCGTTCTAGCACTTCCAGGCGATGGTAAAATCTCTGGAGAAAGAGGCCGCAAGCGAGAAGCAGCAGCTTGTGGAAACTCACCTGGCTCGTGTGGAAGCCATGTTGAACGATCGCCGTCGGATTGCTCTGGAGAACTACCTGGCGGCCCTGCAGGCTGACCCGCCGCGGGTGAGTTACTTTGCCACAAATTTTTACGATAGGGTAGCGCTGGGTAGGGTGGAAAGTGGGAACGGCTTGGTGAGAAGACTGCCTGTGACTTGCTGGGGCAGAAGCTGGGAATAGGTTCCCAGTAAAGCTTTCTCCATCGTGGCAGTTTGTGCTGCAGACCTGGCAGTGGGGCTCCTAATTGACTCGCTCTCCTTTCTACCCGGTTAAAAACCCCTCTGCTTTCATGAGTGTTCATGAGGGGTCGTGTTCTGAGTCAAACAGGCTTAATTGAAAAAGAAAATGTGTAAGAGGTTAGCGCAGGTGATTGATCTGTCCAGTAACAAAGCAGGCTCACGTTTGAAGTGCTGTGTTTTGGCTGTGAATTTTATGTGAATCAAATGGATTTGAACTCTTCTCCTCCTCAAATCCTGCAGCCCCACCGCATCCTGCAAGCTCTGAGGCGCTACGTTCGTGCTGAGAACAAGGACCGTCTGCACACCATCCGCCATTACCAGCACGTCCTGGCAGTTGACCCAGAAAAGGCTGCACAGATGAAATCTCAGGTATGGGAATGTTTCTCTCAAGGGAGGCATTGTTACCCAGCCCTGGCTGTCGGAGACTCTAGAAGCCGTGTGTCGAGTCCTCACGCTAATTTGCTGGGTACTATAGCAACTTGTCGTACTTGTGCCGAGATCTCCCGTTCTGTATGCGTGTTGCCTGTCACCAACTACGCGGTCTGTACCGTTTTCCGTGGTACTTGACTCGGCGTTAAAAATTCGAGCTCTGGCTTATAC